ATAAAAAAAAATATTTTAATACGTCCCATTATTCACTGATCTCGGGAAAATTAAAAGAAATTCCCTGCTGTCAAAAATTTCCCTATGCTCACATACTGGCACTTTTTCCCAGTGAACCAAGAGTCTCAGATTAAACTGAAGCAAAGTTAAACCAGTAGTCTATTTCTTTGTCCTTGTTTAGTTTATCTTTTTTTCGTATTTGTGGCAGCGCCACCTGCTTGACCAGCAGAGAAGGCAACGTATGTGGCTGCCAAGGTACTCAAGTATTCTCAAGGTGAGTTCCATTGCCAAACATGACAGGGAATGACACAAAGAGCATAATATTTTTTTTAATTTTGGTGTTTACAGCAATACTATATCTTCTTTGTCCGTGATGGAGCCGTTCATCTTTGATCTTTGACTGCTGAGACTGCATGTGTACCCCATTTTGTGGTGCAGTCTGTGTCACGAATCTTACTAAGATTCTGCCATTACTCTTGATTCTCATATTACTTTATTGTCTTGTTCTCTAATTAATATTGCATCCAGTTGTATGATATAAGATTTTGTAAGTTATATATGTAACATAGCATGCTGTGTAGTGTGTGTGAGGCTTTTGTGTGTTAGATTTCTCATGTAGTTTCTCCGTGTGGGCGGTTGACCATATTTGGATATGGCCAGTGTGGGAACATTGTTGTCAATCGAGTGTCTATAGTTTTACCTTTATTTATTCCCATATTTGATTGCCGTATTATTGTATGGAATGTTGTACCAGTGTTTACTACTCTTTAGTTTGACAATGTTTTAAATATTAGTGCTGCATTTTGTTATTAGAATTTCCACAATGTTTATGTGGACGTTTAGTTGATTTTTTGGTAGACGTTTAGTCGACGTTTGGCCTGCGGACCAGAGCCTGGGCAGTAGCGTGGCGGCTGTTGTCGAGAGGACTTGTGCTTTAAGCTAAGTCATTGGTCACTGTTATTTTAGCCCATATAAATGTTAATTATCTGGTTAGATGATTTGAGTATTACTATTGATAAATCCATGTTCTGGTGATATTGCTCATGTCTCAATAATTAATTTCATTCTATGATATTGCATGCTGAAGAATATTTCTGGCTATTATTTATACATTTAATTGTTATGTTTGTCCCCCTTAGCATAAATATATTGTTCTCCATTTTATGCAGTGATGTAATTATACCCCTAGACATCTGTTGGCATGGCCAATTTATTATCATTTCTTTACACTGCGGGGAGAAGAACCTTATTTAGTCTCAAGGGTGGTGACAGTCTGCACAGCTGGTGTCACGTGTCCTTGCTAAGTCACCGAAATTATTTGGTAGCATTTCTTTAACCAAGTCACTTGATGCCGAGCAGGAAGATAAGAAGGCTGGAACAGCAATCTGAGTGACAGAGGAAATGCCAAGGCAAAATGTGTGACTTTATGAGTGGCTTGTTTCCACTGAAAGTTATTGTGAGAAAGGTTGACAACTTCTTCTAAAGTTGTTTTGAAAAGGTTATCACATTTTTGACGCCTTGGACTCTTGTAAGATGGGAGATGCACCTCAAAGAAGTAGGTCAGACTTGGAAGGAATAGAAATATCATGCCAGCATATCAAATGCATCATAAGTATCAATGTTGCCAGTTCTGTCTTCTTTAGGTCAGAGATTTTCTTTCCAAAGATATCATCAATGACATTTGACTCGAGAGATGCTCTGTGGAGAGTGTTGTCTTCAGTCTTGATTATAAGAACTACATGCAAGAAGACTTGTACTCTATTTATTATGCTTGGGTTTGAGGAGATTATTTAGACAGGGGTCTAGATAATCTCCTTCCTCCCTAATTTTCACAATGTCGTCCAAGAAGGGAATCTGTTGAACCAACTATAATCAATTGAACCATTGTCCAAGGCCCAAATATTAAACTCGCTGAAAAAGGTGATACAGTCTCCGTGGTGTAGTGGTAAGACACTCGCTTGGCGTTCCGCGAGCGCTATGTCATGGGTTGGTATCCTGGCCGGGGAGGATTTACTGGGCGCAATTCCTTAACTGTAGCCTCTGTTTAACGCAACAGTAAAATGTGTACTTGGATGAAAAAACGATTCTTCGCGGCAGGGATCGTATTCCAGGGACCTGCCCGAAACGCTACGCGTACTAGTGGCTGTACAAGAATGTAACAACTCTTGTATATATCTCAAAAAAAAAAAAGTATCAGTGATTTTTTCTTAAGACAATGCCAAATTATTGTTTGTGGAGAAACTGGTGTGTAATAATTGAAATATATAATAATATTTACTCAGTAATAAAAGAGTTATTGCTTACATGCACAATAGTGGTTCCTAAGCACTGGTCCACGGACCTCTCAGGTTTGAATTCTTTCTGCTTGTTTTAAGATGCGGATGACATTTTTATATTTTAAATCAACACTGTTTATAGAATTTCTGAACACGAGTTTAAGGGGTAGACACAGTTCTTTTTCCAATTCCTTTGCTATTTTGGGTTGAATTCAGTCCAAACCTAGGAATTTAGATTTACTTAATCTGTTAAAGCTCTTTCTAACTTTGTCACACAGAACAAGGTTATTCCTTATTGATTCTCTCTGAGAAGGAAGGGGGGGGGGGGGGTAGGAATAGCCTAAGCGGCTCTATCCCTTTGAGATGTATTTTAATTGTCTCAATAAACGTATTTGAACTTGAACGCATTGATTTTCGTCTGCTGCACTCATTAGTGTGGGTTGCGGGATATGTGTAATCTTTCTAGCGTGTTCACTGTTGTAATGTTTTCATTTAAAGTGTTGGATATCATGTTATCATCAATTATAACTTGGTTGGTCTCTTCTTTCAGGTTCCTATCGGGTCTTTCTTCTTGGTTTTACTCCTAATATAGGCATAAAACGACTTGCAATCTTTCTCAGTGTTTTGATCAGCATATCTTGTATAGTTTTTTAGGTTCATCTGATATTCTGGGTAGCTGAATTTAATGCCTTTTGCATATCACACAATCTGAGTCATTCCTGACGTCAAATAAATCTTCCAGAGGTTGAAATTAATTGCAAAAATTCATTTTACTGTCTTTATCATCCGTCTATTTATTTTTCATTCCTTCTCCTTCTAACAACATATTTTTGAACTTATTCAATATAATTATGCAGAAACGCTTCAAGGTCTCAATTTCCTATTAAATTTCTCCTGGAAGTATTTTTGTAATTCCTCTCTCATTCTATGACAGTGTCTCCTCAAAGGTAGTTAAAAGTGCCATCGTCCTGGACCTTTATATTGTTTTTAACTAAATTCAATCACAAGATGTCGTACTCACATGAAAGACTGAGATTCTCCTATACCTGGATTAGACTGATGTTAATCTACTAATGTTTGCACAGGTTTTTGAATGCTGCTACTTTGATTATGTTACTATGCTACATAGTGTAGGAGAAAGTAGTCCTGTGCTATATCAGGAAATTGCTTTTCTCCTAGTTGTGATTTAGATTCACCCAATCTATTGTAACTTTTTAAAATCCATCATATAAGAGGTTGGACTTTAGCAGGTGTTTATATCATATTTTATGATAAGAGGTTGGACCTGCAGCTTGGGTAACAGCTTTCGCTACGTATCGACCTACCCTGGCTTTGCGGTCTGGAGTGGACACTCCCGACCGACAACCAGGGCGTAGCTCCATAGCCTCACGGGACTCATGGACTTCTACTACAGAGTCTGAGTAGTCCAAGATATTTACTTCCTCGTTGTTGGTTGTAGTTAAGTCCTGTTTTATTTATAGTATCAAACCTTCTGGTCTTTTTGCTGTCTTTTCCAAAAGATAAATGGTTCCCTGGAAGATAGATTTTTTTCCTCTTCAATTATATCCTCTAGTCCCACTCTTTCTCTGATCACAGCCAGTCCCCTACTTTTCCCAGTCGTGACTTAAGTTCTGCACATTTCCCAGGTGTGACTTAAGTTCTACACATTTACCAGTCGTGACTTAAGTTCTACACATTTACCAGTCGTGACTTAAGTTCTGCACATTTACCAGTCGTGACTTAAGTTCTGCACATTTCCCAGGTGTGATTTAAGTTCTACACATTTCCCAGGTGTGACTTAAGTTCTGCACATTTCCCAGGTGTGATTTAAGTTCTACACATTTCCCAGGTGTGACTTAAGTTCTGCACATTTCCCAGGTGTGACTTAAGTTCTGCACATTTCCCAGGTGTGACTTAAGTTCTGCACATTTCATAGGTGTGACTTAAGTTCTACACATTTCCCAGGTGTGACTTAAGTTCTGCACATTTCATAGGTGTGACTTAAGTTCTACACATTTCCCAAGTGTGACTAAAGTTCTACACATTTCCCAGGTGTGACTTAAGTTCTGCACATTTCATAGGTGTGACTTAAGTTCTACACATTTCCCAGGTGTGACTTAAGTTCTGCACATTTCATAGGTGTGACTTAAGTTCTACACATTTCCCAGGTGTGACTAAAGTTCTACACATTTCCCAGGTGTGACTTAAGTTCTGCACATTTCCCAGGTGTGACTTATTTCTTTCACATTTCTTAGTCTTGGGTTCATTCCCTCACATTTTTATGTCGTTGTTCGAGTCTCCCAAATTTCAAAGTGAATGATTCAGTGCCCCACATTTTACATAGTGGCATCAATATGGTATCACCATATTTCTCAGTCACTGCTGGAGTCTTTTAGTTGTGCCTTAATTTCCCCATATTTCTCAGTCGTTGCTTAAGTCCAAATATTTATCAGTCGTAGATTTCTCAGTCATGAATTGTGCTTTTTCCGAGTCGTGCAGTGAGTCCCTATCACTTCTCAGTCAAGGCTTCAGTCTTTCCCATTTCTCAGTCGTGTACTGAGTCCTCAGTATTTCACAGCCATTCCTTGAGACCTTACCGTTACTTCTCATCTAAACCACAACATGTTAGTAATACTCCTCTAGAATTTGCTTCTTTGATAATCATCAAAACAGCCTTCAACGTTCTGGAGCTTGTGACAGGCACTGCAAGTCCCGTGCTCTCACCTGGAATATGTTGGTGAGATCCCGGAGGTTGAAGATGTAGTGGAACTTGGTGGCGGTGGGCAGGAAGGTGAGGCTAACCTTCTGGTGAAGCTGAAGAGCGGCCTGCACTAGTGGGTCCGTCATCTGTGTGGTGGAGTACATGTTTCCGTCAGTCATTAATGCCTTCTATATTTACCAGCACGTATTGAAATGCGGGACTTATATAGGGTAAAAGACGCTAGTCTGACCATGTAGGAATACACACACGCACACTCAAAAGCACTCTCACATTCGTCCATTGAGGACTGACAGAAAAGAACCTTGAGAAAGGGGTATGCGGTAAAACAGATCCAGGCTGTTTATATTAATTCATTAAAAACAAACTGCATGTAAAGAATGAAATCCAGAGATTGAGAACGGGGAACAGATTCACAAAGATATAAAAAGAAATGTGCAAAACACTAAATGAACAGTTCCAAAGTGTGTTTGTGCAAAAGGAGGTCTTCTGAAACCCAGACACAATGCCAGTTCCAGAGAACACAATAGAGGTATCTCAAGAATAAAAAAAAAATTATTGAAGGGGCTGGGAAGAAATAAAGCAATTGGACCAGATAGAGTTTCCACCTTGGGTATTGCAAGAATATGCATCTGACCTGATCATTCCACTCGAAATGATATTCCAGACATCCTGGTATACAGGAATCTTAGCACATATATGGAAAAAGACAGTTGCAATCTTCAAAAATGGTTGCTGAGAAGACGCTCAAAATTATAAACCTTTATAATTAACAAATGTGAAAGTCAAATCACTGGAACAAAACAGTAAAAGCCAAATGGGCAAGACACATATTAAGCCAAAACAATGACACATAACCAGAAAAACCGTATTATTTTGGAACAGGAAAATCTTGTGTGTAAAAAATCTACTCAGTTATTATGATAGAGTCACACACATTCCAGATAAGAGAGATGGTTTTGTTGACTGTGACAATCTGGACCTAAACAAATGTTTTTTTGTCTGGTATAATGGTGCACCATGGTGGTGACCCGGGCCCCCGTCTGGTATAATGGTGTACCATGGTGGTGACCCAGGCCCCCGTCTGGTATAATGGTGCACCATGGTGGTGACCCGGGCACCCGTCTGGTATAATGGTGCACCATGGTGGTGACCCGGGCACCCGTCTGGTATAATGGTGCACCATGGTGGTGACCCGGGCACCCGTCTGGTATAATGGTGCACCATGGTGGTGACCCGGGCACCCGTCTGGTATAATGGTGCACCATGGTGGTGACCCGGGCACCCGTCTGGTATAATGGTGCACCATGGTGGTGACCCGAGCACCCGTCTGGTATAATGGTGCACCATGGTGATGACCCGGGCACCCGTCTGGTATAATGGTGCATCATGGTGATGGCCAGGGGCACCCGTCTGGTATAATGGTGCACCATGGTGATGACCCGAGCACCCGTCTGGTATAATGGTGCACCATGGTGATGACCCGGGCACCCGTCTGGTATAATGGTGCACCATGGTGATGACCCGGGCACCCGTCTGGTATAATGGTGCACCATGGTGGTGACCCGGGCACCCGTCTGGTATAATGGTGCACCATGGTGGTGACCCGGGCCCCCGTCTGGTATAATGGTGCACCATGGTGGTGACCCGGGCCCCCGACTGGTATAATGGTGCACCATGGTGGTGACCCGGGCACCCGTCTGGTATAATGGTGCACCATGGTGGTGACCCGGGCCCCCGTCTGGTATAATGGTGCACCATGGTGATGACCCGGGCACCCGTCTGGTATAATGGTGCACCATGGTGGTGACCCGGGCACCCGTCTGGTATAATGGTGCACCATGGTGGTGACCCGGGCACCCGTCTGGTATAATGGTGCACCATGGTGGTGACCCGGGCCCCCGTCTGGTATAATGGTGCACCATGGTGGTGACCCGGGCACCCATTAATGTAATGATTATAAGACAATATGTGGCCCAATAATCATTGTGACTGGACTCATTTACTGTGTGTTGTGAGGACAACTGCTTCCTCATCAATCATTTTATTCCCGTATAAAATACTTTAAAATTCGGGGCTCAACGACCATAGACGGGCCACAATGGTCGTAGGCATGGTACCACGACCATAGACGGGCCACAATGGTCGTAGGCATGGTACCACGCCCATAGACGGGGCACAATGGTTGTAGGCATGGTACCACGCCCTTAGACGGGGCACAATGGTTGTAGGCAAGGTACCACGCCCATAGACGGGGCACAATGGTTGTAGGCATGGTACCACGCCCATAGACGGGGCACAATGGTTGTAGGCATGGTACCACGCCCATAGACGGGGCACAATGGTCGTAGGCATGGTACCGCGACCATAGACGGGGCACAATGGTTGTAGGCATGGTACCACGCCCATAGACGGGGCACAATGGTTGTAGGCATGGTACCACGCCCATAGACGGGCCACAATGGTTGTAGGCATGGTACCACGCCCATAGACGGGGCACAATGGTCGTAGGCATGGTACCCCGACCATAGACGGGGCACAATGGTTGTAGGCATGGTACCACGCCCATAGACGGGGCACAATGGTTGTAGGCATGGTACAGCGACCATAGACGGGGCACAATGGTTGTAGGCATGGTACCACGCCCATAGACGGGGCACAATGGTCGTAGGCATGGTACCACAACCATAAACGTATGAGCTAAAGGGGGAAAGGAAACGGAAAATAAACCTCACGTCCTTGAAAGACATAGTACTAAGGGGAGACATGATTACCACCTACAAAATTGACATGGGTAAGAGGAATTGACAGGGGTAACAAAAACAAACTATTTAGTATAGGTAAAACATGAACAAGGGGCACACAGGAGGAAATTTAGTGCCCAAATGAGCCAAAGAGACATAAAAATGAATGTTTTCAGAGTTGGAGTAGGTAATAAATGGAGTGCATTAGGCAGTGATGTGGTGGTGGCAGACTCCATACACAGTTTCATATGTAGATGGGATAGAACGCAATAAACTCCAGAATCTGTACACCAGTTGTTTGACAGTTGAGAGGTGGGACCAAAGAGCCAAAGCTCAACCCTGGCAAGCATAACTAAGCAAGTACAACTAGGTGAGTATAGACGGGCATAATGGTCGAAGGCATGGTACCGCGACCATAGACGGGGCACAATGGCCGTAGGCATGGTACCACAACCATAGACCGGGCAGTGGCCATAGATAGGGTACCATTACCGCTTTGAAGGGGCATCAAATTCACCGTATTACTCCTCTAACCCCAAATAACTAATCATTCTCTAAGCAGACATAATTAATCCCACAATGACTAGGAGGAAGAAGCCACCCACCCGACTCAGAGTCTGGTTGAACTTCATGGAGGGATTCTTGAGATGCTGGTCCAGCAGAGATGAGTAGATCAGGTTCAGACTCTCCATTGACGGGAAGCTGCCGTACAACAACAATATTTTCACAATTAGCAAATTTAATCCTAATTGCTATTTGGTCATTTATTCTTTAAGTCGAGAATCGCCACTGAGGCAACATCCACGATGTTGCCAGATGGCGAGCACTTTAAAACTGTAACCAAAATGATCACTAGGCCATGACCCTTGGTGGTGCCACGTGAGCATAACCAAAATGATCACTAGGCCATGACCCTTGGTGGTGTCACGTGAGCATAACCAAAATGATGACTAGGCCATGACCCTCGGTGGCGTCACGTGAGCATAACCAAAATGATCACTAGGCCATGACCCTTGGTGGTGTCACGTGAGCAAAACCAAAATGATGACTAGGCCATGACCCTTGGTGGTGTCACGTGAGCATAACCAAAATGATGACTAGGCCATGACCCTTGGTGGTGTCACGTGAGCATAACCAAAATGATCACTAGGCCATGACCCTTGGTGGTGTCACGTGAGCATAACCAAAATGATCACTAGGCCATGACCCTTGGTGGTGCCACAGGAACATAACCAAAATGATCACTAGGCCATGACCCTTGGTGGTGTCACAGGAACATAACCAAAATGATCACTAGGCCATGACCTTCGGTGTTAGAGTAAACAATATTATTACTTAAAGCCAATTGCTAGTAGGGTAACTATGATTATTTAAAACTTAATTCTTTGATATTCCCATAGTTATTCAGGTTATAAATATTATTAAAATTAATATTACTATTATTATAATTGAGAAAATCAGTATGAGCCGTGATAAGGGTTCCACAGCTCTTATAGATTTTTTCATTAATGTATCACAAATGTGTGATTACTCTTTCTCTTATTAATAAAATAAATATTATTATTTTAATTATGATTATTACAATTATTATTATTAATATTACAATTATTATATTATTAAAATTATTAATTTTAATTATTATTAAATTATTTTATTTTATTTTATAATTATTATTTTTATTTGATTTTGAAACTACTATTTTCATTTCATTTTAAATTTTTTATCATAATTGCACATTACAATCACTTTAATGTGATGCAATGAAAAAATCAGTAGGAGCTGTAAGGAGGACTCGAACCTGCTCACATGGTGCTCCCAAGCTAGTGCCCTTCACCCCAAGACGGTCAGCAGCAGCGCGGACTGGGAGTCCACTATAACCACAAGTGGTCCCAAGGCTTCCAACTGTAACCCAGGCAGGTTATTGACGTATTGCTCCCATGCACTCTGGCTTGTGCTCCACCATGCACTCTGGCTTGTGCTCCACCATGCACTCTGGCTTGTGCTCCACCATGCACTCTGGCTTGTGCTCCACCATGCACTCTGGCTTGTGCTCCACCATGCACTCTGGCTTGTGCTCCACCATGCACTCTGGCTTGTGCTCCACCATGCACTCTGGCTTGTGCTCCACCATGCACTCTGGCTTGTGCTCCACCATGCACTCTGGCTTGTGCTCCACCATGCACTCTGGCTTGTGCTCCACCATGCACTCTGGCTTGTGCTCCACCATGCACTCTGGCTTGTGCTCCACCATGCACTCTGGCTTGTGCTCCACCATGCACTCTGGCTTGTGCTCCACCATGCACTCTGGCTTGTGCTCCACCATGCACTCTGGCTTGTGCTCCACCATGCACTCTGCCTTGTGCTCCACCATGCACTCTGGCTTGTGCTCCACCATGCACTCTGGCTTGTGCTCCACCATGCACTCTGGCTTGTGCTCCACCATGCACTCTGGCTTGTGCTCCACCATGCACTCTGGCTTGTGCTCCACCATGCACTCTGGCTTGTGCTCCACCATGCACTCTGGCTTGTGCTCCACCATGCACTCTGGCTTGTGCTCCACCATGCACTCTGGCTTGTGCTCCACCATGCACTCTGGCTTGTGCTCCACCATGCACTCTGGCTTGTGCTCCACCATGCACTCTGGCTTGTGCTCCACCATGCACTCTGGCTTGTGCTCCACCATGCACTCTGGCTTGTGCTCCACCATGCACTCTGGCTTGTGCTCCACCATGCACTCTGGCTTGTGCTCCACCATGCACTCTGGCTTGTGCTCCACCATGCACTCTGGCTTGTGCTCCACCATGCACTCTGGCTTGTGCTCCACCATGCACTCTGGCTTGTGCTCCACCATGCACTCTGGCTTGTGCTCCACCATGCACTCTGGCTTGTGCTCCACCATGCACTCTGGCTTGTGCTCCACCATGCACTCTGGCTTGTGCTCCACCATGCACTCTGGCTTGTGCTCCACCATGCACTCTGGCTTGTGCTCCACCATGCACTCTGGCTTGTGCTCCACCATGCACTCTGGCTTGTGCTCCACCATGCACTCTGGCTTGTGCTCCACCATGCACTCTGGCTTGTGCTCCACCATGCACTCTGGCTTGTGCTCCACCATGCACTCTGGCTTGTGCTCCACCATGCACTCTGGCTTGTGCTCCACCATGCACTCTGGCTTGTGCTCCACCATGCACTCTGGCTTGTGCTCCACCATGCACTCTGGCTTGTGCTCCACCATGCACTCTGGCTTGTGCTCCACCATGCACTCTGGCTTGTGCTCCACCATGCACTCTGGCTTGTGCTCCACCATGCACTCTGGCTTGTGCTCCACCATGCACTCTGGCTTGTGCTCCACCATGCACTCTGGCTTGTGCTCCACCTTGCACTCTGGCTTGTGCTCCACCATGCACTCTGGCTTGTGCTCCACCATGCACTCTGGCTTGTGCTCCACCATGCAGTCTGGCTTGTGCTCCACCATGCACTCTGGCTTGTGCTTTAGTTGCCCCCCATGCACTCTGGCTTGTGCTCCACCATGTACTCTGGCTTGTGCTCCACCATGCACTCTGGCTTGTGCTCCACCATGCACTCTGGCTTGTGCTCCACCATGCACTCTGGCTTGTGCTCCACCATGCACTCTGGCTTGTGCTCCACCATGCACTCTGGCTTGTGCTCCACCATGCACTCTGGCTTGTGCTCTAGTTGCCCCCCATGCACTCTGGCTTGTGCTCCACCATGCACTCTGGCTTGTGCTCCACCATGCACTCTGGCTTGTGCTCCACCATGCACTCTGGCTTGTGCTCCACCATGCACTCTGGCTTGTGCTCCACCATGCACTCTGGCTTGTGCTCCACCATGCACTCTGGCTTGTGCTCCACCATGCACTCTGGCTTGTGCTCTAGTTGCCCCCCATGCACTCTGGCTTGTGCTCCACCATGTACTCTGGCTTGTGCTCCACCATGCACTCTGGCTTGTGCTCCACCATGCACTCTGGCTTGTGCTCCACCATGCACTCTGGCTTGTGCTCTAGTTGCCCCCATGCACTCTGGCTTGTGCTCCACCATGTACTCTGGCTTGTGCTCCACCATGCACTCTGGCTTGTGCTCCACCATGCACTCTGGCTTGTGCTCTAGTTGCCCCCATGCACTCTGGCTTGTGCTCCACCATGCACTCTGGCTTGTGCTCTAGATGTCCACCATGCACTCTGGCTTGTGCTCCACCATGCACTCTGGCTTGTGCTCTAGTTGCCCCCCATGCACTCTGGCTTGTGCTCTAGTTGCCCCTCATGCACTCTGGCTTGTGCTCTAGTTGCCCCCCATGCACTCTGGCTTGTGCTCCAGTTGTCCACCATGCACTCTGGCTTGTGCTCTAGTTGCCCCCCATGCACTCTGGCTTGTGCTCCAGTTGTCCACCATGCACTCTGGCTTGTGCTCTAGTTGCCTCCCATGCACTCTGGCTTGTGCTCCAGTTGTCCACCATGCACTCTGGCTTGTGCTCCAGTTGTCCACCATGCACTCTGGCTTGTGCTCCAGTTGTCCACCATGCACTCTGGCTTGTGCTCCAGTTGTCCCCCATACACTCTGACTTGTGCTCCACCATGCACTCTGGCTTGTGCTCCAGTTGTCCCCCATGCACTCTGGCTTGTGCTCCAGTTGTCCACCATGCACTCTGGCTTGTGCTCTAGTTGCCCCCCATGCACTCTGGCTTGTGCTCCAGTTGTCCCCCATGTACTCTGGCTTGTGCTCCAGTTGTCCACCATGCACTCTGGCTTGTGCTCCAGTTGTCCCCCATGTACTCTGGCTTGTGCTCCAGTTGTCCCCCATGCACTCTGGCTTGTGCTCCAGTTGTCCACCATGCACTCTGGCTTGTGCTCTAGTTGCCCCCCATGCACTCTGGCTTGTGCTCCACCATGTACTCTGGCTTGTGCTCCACCATGCACTCTGAGTTGTGCTCCACCATGCACTCTGGCTTGTGCTCCACCATGCACTCTGGTTTGTGCTCTAGTTGCCCCCCATGCACTCTGGCTTGTGCTCCACCATGTACTCTGGCTTGTGCTCCACCATGCACTCTGGCTTGTGCTCCACCATGCACTCTGGCTTGTGCTCTAGTTGCCCCCCATGCACTCTGGCTTGTGCTCCACCATGCACTCTGGCTTGTGCTCTAGATGTCCACCATGCACTCTGGCTTGTGCTCCACCATGCACTCTGGCTTGTGCTCTAGTTGCCCCCCATGCACTCTGGCTTGTGCTCTAGTTGCCCCTCATGCACTCTGGCTTGTGCTCTAGTTGCCCCCCATGCACTCTGGCTTGTGCTCCAGTTGTCCACCATGCACTCTGGCTTGTGCTCTAGTTGCCCCCCATGCACTCTGGCTTGTGCTCCAGTTGTCCACCATGCACTCTGGCTTGCGCTCTAGTTGCCTCCCATGCACTCTGGCTTGTGCTCCAGTTGTCCACCATGCACTCTGGCTTCTGCTCCAGTTGTCCACCATGCACTCTGGCTTGTGCTCCAGTTGTCCACCATGCACTCTGGCTTGTGCTCCAGTTGTCCCCCATACACTCTGACTTGTGCTCCACCATGCACTCTGGCTTGTGCTCCAGTTGTCCCCCATGCACTCTGGCTTGTGCTCCAGTTGTCCACCATGCACTCTGGCTTGTGCTCTAGTTGCCCCCCATGCACTCTGGCTTGTGCTCCAGTTGTCCCCCATGTACTCTGGCTTGTGCTCCAGTTGTCCACCATGCACTCTGGCTTGTGCTCCAGTTGTCCCCCATGTACTCTAGCTTGTGCTCCAGTTGTCCCCCATGCACTCTGGCTTGTGCTCCAGTTGTCCACCATGCACTCTGGCTTGTGCTCTAGTTGCCCCCCATGCACTCTGGCTTGTGCTCCAGTTGTCCACCATGCACTCTGGCTTGTGCTCCAGTTGCCCCCCATGCACTCTGGCTTGTGCTCCAGTTGTCCACCATGCACTCTGGCTTGTGCTCCAGTTGCCCCCCATGCACTCTGGTGTGTGCTCCAGTTGTCTACCATGCACTCTGGCTTGTGCTCCAGTTGTCCACCATGCACTCTGGCTTGTGCTCCAGTTGTCCACCATGCACTCTGGCTTGTGCTCCAGTTGCCCGCCCATGCACTCTGCTTTTTGCTCCAGTTGCCCCCCGATGCACTCTGGCTTGTGCTCCAGTTGTCCACCATGCACTCTGGGGTGTGCTCCAGTTGTCCACCATGCACTCTGGCTTGTGCTCCAGTTGTCCACCATGCACTCTGGCTTGTGCTCCACCATGCACTCTGGCTTGTGCTCCAGTTTTCCACCATGCACTCTGGCTTGTGCTCCAGTTGTCCACCATGCACTCTGGCTTGTGCTCCACCATGCACTCTGGCTTGTGCTCCAGTTGCCCCCCATGCACTCTGGTTTGTGCTCCAGTTGCCCCCATGCACTCTGGCTTGTGCTCCAGTTGCCCCCCATGCACTCTGGCTTGTGCTCCACCATGCTCTCTGGCTTGTGTTCCAGTTGTCCACCATGCACTCTGGCTTGTGCTCCACCATGCACTCTGGCTTGTGCTCCAGTTGTCCACCATGCACTCTGGTTTGTGTTCCAGTTGCCCCCATGCACTCTGGCTTGTGCTCCAGTTGCCCCCCATGCACTCTGGCTTGTGCTCCAGTTGTCCACCATGCACTCTGGCTTGTGCTCCAGTTGCCCCCCATGCACTCTGGCTTGTGCTCCAGTTGCCCCCCTTGCACACTGGCTTGTGCTCCAGTTGCCCCCCATGCTCTCTGGCTTGTGCTCCAGTTGTCCACCATGCACTCTGGCTTGTGCTCCACCATGCACTCTGGCTTGTGCTCCAGTTGTCCACCATGCACTCTGGCTTGTGCTCCACCATGCACTCTGGCTTGTGCTCCACCATGCACTCTGGCTTGTGCTCCAGTTGTCCACCATGCACTCTGGCTTGTGCTCCAGTTGTCCACCATGCACTCTGGCTTGTGCTCCACCATGCACTCTGGCTTGTGCTCCAGTTGTCCACCATGCACTCTGGCTTGTGCTCCAGTTGTCCCCCATGCACTCTGGCTTGTGCTCCAGTTGTCCACCATGCCCTCTGGCTTGTGCTCCAGTTGTCCACCATGCACTCTGGCTTGTGCTCCAGTTGTCCACCATGCACTCTAGCTTGTGCTCCACCATGCACTCTGGCTTGTGCTCCACCATGCACTCTGGCTTGTGCTCCACCATGCACTCTGGCTTGTGCTCCACCATGCACTCTGGCTTGTGCTCCACCATGCACTCTGGCTTGTGCTCCACCATGCACTCTGGCTTGTGCTCCACCATGCATTCTGGTTTGTGCTCCAGTTGTCCACCATGCACTCTGGCTTGTGCTCCAGTTGCCCCTCATGCACTCTGGCATGTGCTCTAGTTCCAAGAACCAGAAGTTCCAGTTACATGTCGCGGTCCAAAAGCAGCACAACGAGGTGCTTTTTGACCGTATCTTGGTGTAGTGGTCTACGACACTAGCTTGCAGTACGAAGTGAGCAGGTTCGAATCCTCCTCACGGCTCCTACTGCATTTAACATTATTATTATTATTATTATTATTATTATTATTATTATTATTATTATTATTATTATTCCTGGCACAAGAGTGAGAAGGTGCCGCCTGGTGGGAGGTGGAAGGGTGTTACCTGACGGCGAACACGCTAAAGTGTCGCTGCAGACGCGGGTTGATGGTGAAGGAGCCGGCGGTGGGGTTCATGGCCCCGACGTACTGGACGTTGTGCACGTCCTTGAGGCTGTGCTTGGCTCGGTCATACCAGTGGCCGTAGTCGAGGTGTTGTCTGAGGAGTGTGTGGGGCTGCACCGTGCCGTACTGGTCCACCTGTGGGGCAGTCAACACTAACACTTGTCTTTGGTGTTGGGGTATAGGCCTATTAGTCTCTGTAGAATTAATTAGGCTACCATGCTACCTTCAGCTCAATATGGATACTTTAGGGGGGAGGGGGAGCTGGTAGGTGTTGGGAGCGTGGTAGGTGTTGGGTGTGTGGTAGGTGTTGGGTGTGTGGTAGGTGTTTGGTGTGTGGTAGGTGTTTGGTGTGTGGTAGGTGTTGGGTGCGTGGTAGGTGTTTGGTGTGTGGTAGGTGTTGGGAGCGTGGTAGGTGTTGGGTGTGTGGTAGGTGTTTGGTGTGTGGTAGGTGTTGGGAGCGTGGTAGGTGATGGGTGCGTGGTAGGTGTTTGGTGTGTGGTAGGTGTTGGGTGCGTGGTAGGTGTTTGGTGTGTGGTAGGTGTTGGGAGCGTGGTAGGTGTTGGGTGTGTGGTAGGTGTTTGGTGTGTGGTAGGTGTTGGGAGCGTGGTAGGTGTTGGGTGCGTGGAAGGTGTTTGGTGTGTGGTAGGTGTTTGGTGTGTGGTAGGTGTTTGGTGTGTGGTAGGTGTTGGGTGCGTGGTAGGTGTTTGGTGTGTGGTAGGTGTTAGGTGCGTGGTAGGTGTTGGGTGCGTGGTAGGTGTTTGGTGTGTGGTAGGTGTTGGGTGCGTGGTAGGTGTTGGGTGTGTGGTAGGTGTTGGGTGCGTGGTAGGTGTTTGGTGTGTGGTAGGTGTTGGGTGCGTGGTAGGTGTTGGGAGCGTGGTAGGTGTTGGGTGTGTGGTAGGTGTTTGGTGTGTGGTAGGTGTTGGGAGTGTGGTAGGTGTTTGGTGTGTGGTAGGTGTTTGGTTTGTGGTAGGTGTTGGGTGTGTGGTAGGTGTTTGGTGTGTGGTAGGTGTTGGGAGCGTGGTAGGTGTTGGGAGCGTGGTAGGTGTTTGGTGTGTGGTAGGTGTTGGGAGCGTGGTAGGTGTTGGGAGCGTGGTAGGTGTTTGGTGTGTGGTAGGTGTTGGGTGTGTGGTAGGTGTTTGGTGTGTGGTAGGTGTTGGGAGCGTGGTAGGTGTTGGGTGTGTGGTAGGTGTTTGGTGTGTGGTAGGTGTTGGGAGCGTGGTAGGTGTTGGGTGTGTGGTAGGTGTTTGGTGTGTGGTAGGTGTTGGGTGCGTGGTAGGTGTTTGGTGTGTGGTAGGTGTTGGGAACGTGGTAGGTGTGTGGTAGGTGTTGGGTGCGTGGTAGGTGTTGGGTGCGTGGTAGGTGTTTGGTGTGTGGTAGGTGTTGGGTGCGTGGTAGGTGTTTGGTGTGTGGTAGGTGTTGGGTGCGTGGTAGGTGTTTGGTGTGTGGTAGGTGTTGGGAGCGTGGTAGGTGTTGGGTGTGTGGTAGGTGTTGGGTGCGTGGTAGGTGTTTGGTGTGTGGTAGGTGTTTGGTGTGTGGTAGGTGTTTGGTGTGTGGTAGGTGTTGGGTGCGTGGTAGGTGTTTGGTGTGTGGTAGGTGTTGGGAGCGTGGTAGGTGTTGGGTGTGTGGTAGGTGTTGGGTGCGTGGTAGGTGTTTGGTGTGTGGTAGGTGTTGGGAGCGTGGTAGGTGTTGGGTGTGTGGTAGGTGTTGGGTGCGTGGTAGGTGTTGGGTGCGTGGTAGGTGTTTGGTGTGTGGTAGGTGTTGGGTGCGTGGTAGGTGTTTGGTGTGTGGTAGGTGTTAGTAGTGGGATTTATGCCTACGACGTGCAATTTTCATTTTTTCCAATGCACGTCGTAGGCATAGGGGGTTTTTGATAGCTACGACGTGCAATTTTCATTTTTTCCTATGCACGTCGTAGGCATAGGGGGTTTTTGATAGCTACGACCGGCTTTTTTCATTTTTTCCAAAGCCGGTCGTAGCTTCTGGGGTTTTTCCTGTTTTTTTTTCCCCTATGTCGGTCGTAGCATCTGGGGTTTTTCCTGTTTTTTTTTCCCTATGTCTGTCGTAGCTTCAGGGGTTTTTCTGAATTTTTTTGTTCCTATGCCGGTCGTAGCATCACAATTTGCCTGGGGGTAGGATTAAAATGCCGGTCCCTGGCATCCCCAAATTTCGTTGGCTCAGTGACCCTGCACAGACATTGCTAATGGTCAATGACGTCACCAGCTAGCCGCTCAGCATTCCTGCACCGGCATGTTCGAGGGGATTAAAAAGCCTGTCGTAGCATCATGGGTTTTGCGATACAACAGTATCCTTGAAACCTAATATAAAATACCATCATCCCTAGTCTATTTTTTAATTTCATATTTACTTCCAACCATCACCCATTACATTTATCAAAGGGAAACAAGTATGTGAGGGAAGAACATAACTTCAGCACTGCAAGAAGTGTTGTGTGTATTTTCAAGTTCGTCCCCTGCTGCCTGTATTTATCCAGGTCTTTTTCCTAAATATAAAACTTTAACCAATTCATTCCTATTCTGTTTCATGTCAATACGTATAATAGGTTATAAATATTCCCCTTTAGTATGACCATTCAGTCACACCTCTATCATGTCACCCCTATTTCTTCTTCTTCGTCGTCGTTCTAGAGAATGTAATTTGAGCTATGACAATCTTTCTTGAAGGATCGTTTATTATGCATAGGGCAAAAAAATAAAATGAAAAACTGCTATCAGTCGTTTATATTTAAAAAAATAGAGGCCTGGGCATTGGTGATTTCAATGCGAGTTCGGTAGTGACCCTATCCTTATGCGCATCTCACATTCGCTCAAAAACACACCTCCCACACCATTTATCAAATAAAAAACTCATTCAGTAAAAGCAAGCCTCTCATATTTTTGAAATAAAAGCCTTCTGCAGTTACCACCTTTTTTGACGTCATCATGCCTAATGCGGCACGAGGCGTCAACGGGCTAAATGCGGATCCCAGGAGGTTCACACATAAGTGTGAACTCTTAATCAGGCTTATTACCTCACCTATACTCTGTGCTTCATCAGAGTTGATATTCTTGTACAATGGCTCGTATTTTCGCTCATTACTTATATTTTCTGTTATTCATAAACCCGATCAAACCTTCCTAACCTAACCTAACCTAACATATTATTTATAACAAACAAATACATTCTACAGAACAGTTATTGTTGATGTTTAGTGACATCGTGAAAAGCGACCTCAGGTATAGGGACAATGTATTGATGGTCATTAGCATATAGGTGTGAAGGTATTACAGTACCTTACTGGTCAACTATGTATGACGTCACCAGACAACCAATGCGCCCTTTGGCGTCCTACTTGCATGTGTATTTAATGTTATTATTCAAAAATGACTAGACTATCCATCCCCACCTAACCTAATCAGAGGTTTAAGAACATACATTTTAGTCATCCACAACTGTAATCATTATTCAGTGATAAGTTCGAAAGTATAACAGAAGCCCAAATGTCGTACTGCAATTTAAGCAGAATCGTACATCTGGAAGCATAGCAGGTGAGCTGAAACATAAGAATAAAGGTAACTGCAGAGGTCCTATTGGCCCATACGAGGCAGCTCCTATATATTTCCACCCAATCTCATTCATGTCCACCCTATGCTTAAAACAACCAAGGGATCCCACTTAAAGTATTAGTTTACAATAATAGTTTTAATAAATAGCTCTTATTCTAGTTTTATACACAACAGCAATTATGAAACCCTATAGCTAGATATTCTACTATAATCCACAAGTAGTTACCACACATCTGGCAGTACAGTGGATTAGTGGCTGTGTTCATAGGCTAGTCAACTGTCCTCACATCCATCAAATAGATATCCAAATGTCGCACCTCAATTCATCCATCTAGCTGGATGTTAGCCACTATATTCATAGGCTAATCATTTCTACACCTCAAAAAATCCTAGTCTTGCTACGCAAATCAGCTAACTTGTTTCTAAACCAACACTCGCAAATACAATCATGCATACCTACACATACTTCAAAACCTATGCATTCATAGAGAATAGCCTAGTTTTTGCCACCATTTCCCCATTAATCAGATGTAATTTATGCCATACACACAGAAAATACAGCATTAACACACCAAATATGCCATTTATGCACAAAATATATTATTTACACTCAAAATATACCATCACACAAAAAAATATGAGATTTTCATACAAAATATGTCAGTTGCAAACAAAAATATACCATTTACACAATATTGCATGTACACTCAGAGTATGACATTTACACAAAGTACGGTATTTTCCACAAATATATCAAAAGTCTTATGCATTTAGACAATCAAAAATGCGCTTTCACTAAAATTACACAATTTCACAAACGTAATTTTCACAAAATACCCACACATTGTCTCATAAACCAAAATACACTTACACCATGAAGATCTATTTTATCAAATTACAGAGCTTACACAAAATACACAATTTTCACACACAAATACAGTTGCACCAGTTCCACTTCAACAAATTAAAAACACAACGTGCATAAATGCACTATTATCACAAAAATTATTATAAAACATGGACATTTATTACACAGTTTGTGTAATTATTTTACATCTTTGCACAATTAATACAAGAAAACTTGCTATATAATTACTAAGCTTGCACAATGACAATCAATACGCAAAGATATAAATAAACAATTCATCCATATGCAATTACACAACATGCGCAATTAATACACAACTTATACAATATTACACATCTTTCATAATTATTACACACAACTTGCACAAATGCATATCTAGCACAAATACGTACAATACATAACTACCCCAAATATGAAAATACACAACTAGCATAAATACACGATTTACACAAATACAATTGCGACATTTACACAACTTGCTCAAAAATATAATCAATACACAACTTACCAAAATATGAACAATACATAACTAGCACATATTCATTAAATACACAACAATGCAATTTCCTCAAATGCACATACAAAAACATATACAATTATTACATACAACTTTCACAAAACAATACACAATTTATAGAAATATAATCAATACATAATTTCAATAATCATACAACTTATGCAAAATACATAATCTGCACAATTAA